TTTCTTAAGGGCTGGTGGGGCACCTAGAAACTGTGTTTTGGGGTCAAATTGTTGATGTTTGTTTTCTATTTTTGTATTGTGTTAATTTTATCAAGTATTTGAATATACTTTTGTGGTGTTTTTTCTAAGTTTTTTTTCTGAGAAAGCACATGTTTTCCGCGTTTTCTTACCTTCATCGGCTGTTTTCTCACCATTATATTGTTTCACACATTATCCCATTTTTCTGCTCTGCTTCTTGTTCAATTTCAATGTAACTTTCAAAGGATACCAACAACACCTAGTTCTAAATTTTGGCTTGTTCAATTTTTGATTAATGGAGTAGTGTTTGATTTGTGGGCTTAGAAAGGATGAATCTTCCTTTTTAAAACTTTTTTTGCAACAACCCAATTTTAAGTGTTATAAAATAAAAACTAAACCGCTTAACTTTTTAGCATTTTAAAGTAAATTAGTTAGCCAGTCGTGAAGTGAACTTGCGCAGAGGTGAACAACTTGTGTTTCGCGCGCTCATATGACCTTAGCAGTTGCGAGCGCCGTAAAACCTTATACTACTATACTATGCTATACACTACTAAACTAAACCGTATATAAAAAATTCAACATTATAAATTGAAGAGCTACATATTTACTGTTGGCATGCCGGATTTTAGGGGTGAATTTGTTAATAAATAAAAGAATAAAATTGGATCGAAAAAAAAAATATTATGTATGGCCGCCGTTTCCATAGCAACCGATTCATACTTTTTGAACTATTGATTTCAAATCCCCAATAACATACGGTGTATCACAGCACATATGGGCACTCCAGGCCTTGTAATAGTCAAAATACACTTCAGGTGCAGCAGTTCAGCACATTTTATTGAAAGTACAATATACACATAGGCATCTTCCCGCCATCCCCTGATTTTAGGGTTGGTAAGATCTAACACCTTGTCTTCTCGGATAATAGCAAACAAATCTCGGGGGTCCCGTCTTCAAGTTAAACACGTTTGATAAAAATGTTAATGTTATTTAGAAAGTTGTTTTAAAATTAGTTTATTTACATCAATTTTTAAAGTATTTTAGCATTTTAATAGAGGTGTTGACCAGAATAGGGCTGTGCAGTGTACTGTTGCGAACAGAACCAACCCTTTTTCACGCGCTCATATGTCCGTATGCAGTTGTGAGCGCCGTAAAACTCTTACTAAAACAAAACACACCCTTGGTGGTCTTAAAATTGATTAGAGTAGGCTTCGGCCCCCACCAGGTCAAAATTCAAAGTTAATTCCCACCAAAATGAACAATTAAATGATTAATGTTTCCCGCGCGCTCATATGACCTTATGCAGTTGAGAGCGCCGTAAAACACTAACTAAAATTGGATGTATTGCTTTAGAGCGTGATTTCAATAACGAGTATGGTCGCCTAGTGCAGCAACCAAGAAATCTTCATGAATTCGCGCACGCTTTGCAGGAGTGGACCAAAATGCCTCAAATCAATATTCAACGAATACATGTAGCTCAATGAGACGAAGATGCAAGGCTGTTATTGCTGCACAAGGTTGGCATACTCGTTATTGAAATCACGCTCTGAAGCAATACATGCAATTTTCCTCAAATCGTGTTTAGCCTTGGTTTTTTTGGGGTTTTTTTTTTGGGGGGGGGGGGGTGGTCTTCTTGTCGTGAGTTGTTTGTGTATTAAATTGACGTTTCGTTCAAAAACTAGTCTTATATAATTATCGTTTCGTCTTTGAAAAAAGCTAAAATAGTTTACAAGGATTATTAAAGTTTCAAAATTAGGCCTGAAATCTATGGACAGTTATTTTTTTTTGAGGGTATAAAAGCAATGTTTCCGTCAATTACAGAACGATGACCAATGTACCTGCAGATTGGAATGTTATTTCGCAAGAGAAATTTAAAAAAAAAGTATTTGGTTAATCCCACTTGTAGCTTTTGCCATTTGCGAATGAGGCCAATCCGGCCAGAGAAAAGTTAGCAACATATTATTTTACGACATATTATAGTAGGAAGAATTAATTAGTTTGTAAAAATCAAGATTAATCAATAACGACATACCATAACCCCTCGCCTTTGACCCTCGGCACAACTTGAGATCGGAACAAGCCTCCGCTTGTCTCCCACGATCCCCCTCCCGATTCTTAACCTATTGTGACGAAGTCCACCAACCAACACCCGCGCCACCCACCCGACCTTTCACAAGTAGTGTCGCCTTTACAGCAGACGACGAAAAGCTTTGACGAAGTCCCATTCAGTCGCGGAACGCTCAGAGACGCGTTCTGGTGACGTTCCAAGTAAGACCACGAGAGGCACGTCGTGTGCTTAGGCCTACAGTGCATGGGATTTTCTTGTTTTTAAATTCTCCGTGGCGTTACGTTTGAGTTGTTGTATGATTCAATAGGGCAAGTGCGCGCTCTATCATAACGTAGATGTGTAAGTAAGCGTAGAGTTACCGTGATACATTTTGGCTGCGTTCTGTGAATCTCAGTTACATAAAGCATAAAATTGGAAAGGTGAAGTGCATCTTTGGAATGTGCTTAGTGTGAGTTGAGTGCAACATTATTCCAGCTCTGGATCTAGATCTAGTCCTAGGTGAAAACTATAAAACGCGATTTCTAAAAACATGTCAAAGGATAAAAGGCGCTCCTGAAACAGAAAGAAAAGGCGTTTCTTAAAATAGGCCTATTGAAAGTTCTGAAGCTGAAACATTTTGCTGTTTCTTACATGTGATATCTGCAGTGTGCCGTGCAGGTTGTCCTAAATAGTGGTGGGTCAAAAACACCGACCAACGTTGACATATCACATGATCTAGCATGCTCACGTTGCTGTAAAGAAAATCTTCTTTCACATGAAGGCTTTGACCCTACGGAGTTTAACTGCATCTTTCTATGGAATCAACAGCCGTCAGTGGCTCGCTCGAGGTAAGTGATCCACAGCTAGATCTACTACAGTTAAATCTGTTAAACACAGAACAACTCTTGTAAACACTCTTGCTATTTTTTTTTTTCGCTCTCCGGTTCTTGTTGATGTGATTAGATTAACTAGATATTAGATCTATACTGTCGTCTTCGTTTCTTTCCTTCTTTTCTTCTTCTGGCTAAGCGAGTTTGTAACATAACCTATGATTCAAGAGCCAAGTAACAGCTCCTGTCGTCCTTTTATTCTATTTTGCCTTGGCCTACCAGAGACGCTCATCGCAGGTCCGGCTTCTGACATGTTTCAAACGAAATTTTAGGACGTAAACAAAATCGACCTCATTTCTTTTCCCTTTTCATAGGAGAAAGCAATCTCAAGCAATTAAAGCAATTCACACATAAACTGTGATCGAGCTCTTTTTAAGTTGTCGTGTTTCCATTTATAAGAAGCTGTACCCCATCCCCCTCCAGCAGAAAAACCAACAATAAAAGCAACCCCCCC